GCCATTTCGACATTGCCTTAATTTTGGTTTGGTCTGCCACCACTCCTTGGGACACCACATGTCCTAGGTACTCCACACTCAACTGGGCAAAGCTGCATTTCTTCAGGTTAGCTCTCAACTAATGCTCCTGAAGTATTTCCAAAATCACCTTCAGGTGTCCAAGATGCTCCTCCACTGTCTTGCTATACACAAGAATGTCATCAAAGAATATCAGGACAAACTTTGTGAGGTACTGCTTGAATACCTTGTTCATCAAAGACTAAAAACTAGCAGGGGCGTTAGTGAGACCAAATGGCATTACCATAAACTCATAATGCCCTTCATGTGTCCTGAATGCTGTCTTTAGAATGTTTGTCTCCCTCATTCTGATCTGATGGTATCCGGATTTCAAGTCAAACTTGGAAAACATCACCACTCCATGTAACTCATTCAAGAGCTCATCAATCACTGGAATAGGAAATTTATCTGACACTGTCCCCTTATTCAACGCTGTGTAGTCTATATAGAATCGCCAACTCTCATCCTTTCTGACCAAGAGGACGGGACTAGAGAAAGGACTCACACTCGGTTTGATGATCGCTGCCTCCAGTATCTACCGGATCAACTTTTTAATCTCATCTTTCTATATATGAGGGTAATGGTAGGGTCTGACACTGATCGGGGTCTCTCCTTCCTTCAAAGTAATGGTATGCTCTAACTCCCTTGGTGGTAGACCCTGAGGAGGTTGGAAAACCTCACTGAATTGTTGTATGAATGGTTGTACTGAAGAGGGAATGTTTCCCTCTTCTTCCAATTTGCCCCACTCCAGGCGATGCAACTCCACCAAGTATCCTCCTCCCACTTCCTTTATGGTTCTGATCGAAGACTTGAGGGATATCCCAGTCTTAGTTAGCCTCGCATCACCCTGGATAATCACCTTTTTCCCTTATCCACCAGCTCCATCCTTAATGTCCCCCAATTCACCTTAGTATCTCCCAAGGACTGTAGTCATTTCATCCCCCGGATGACATCAGTGCTTCCTAGTTCTAAGGGAAGAAAATCCTCCCTCGCCTTAATCCCCTGAATCATCAGCACCACTCCCTTACAAACACCTCTACCCATCTCTACCTTTCTTGTGCTCATCATCACCCCATAGCCTCCTGTATCCACTAATTTCATCCCAAGCCGATCAACAATCTAGGTGAAAATAAAATTGTGAGTTGTCCCACTATCTATCAATACCACTACCTCCTATTCGCTATCTCTCCCTTCACTTTTATAGTGTGACTAGGAGTGAATCCCACTATAGAGTTCAGTGATACTTCTGCCAAATTAAGATGCAACTTTTCCTCCAATTCTAGCCCGCTCCCACCTCCCTCTTCAGCTTCCTCGTCATCACAGACGGTGAGAACCTGAAGAGTTCGGTCCTTGCATCTATGCCCTGGCATGTACTTCTCATCACACCTGAAACACAATCCCTTGACCCGCTTCTCTTGTATCTCCTTCCTAGTCAATTTCTTGAAATTTCCCCCTCATCCGGATCTCTCCTTCGGCACCTCCTTCGTGCTCTCTAGCGCTGGTCCCCTGGGAGGTAAAAAAGTGGTGGTCGTCTTATATGACCCCCCTGAGTTGCTTTCCCTAGCCACTCTCTCCATCCTCTGTTCATCCACCAGCTGTGCCAACTCCATGGCTTTCCTAAGGTTTTTTGGCTCCAAGACTCTGACTGCTACCCGTATTTCCGGTTTGAGCCATTTCATAAATTTTCCCTCCAGTGTCGTCTCTGAGATATGATCCAATCTGCTGGCCAAATACTAAAATCTGTCGCGTAGTCTGCTACGGTCCCCTCCTAAGTCAAGGCAAAGAATTGCTCATAGAAGTCTCATCCCCTCTCCGTTCGGAAACGTTCTAGTAAACATTCTTTGTACTCCCTCCAATTTCAGATGGGCTACTTCCTTTCACTCCATTGATACCATGCAAGTGCCTTTCCTTCCAAACATAAACCTGCTACCGTCAGCTTCTCCTCCTCCGTCAATCCATTGATGGTGAAGTATCGTTCCACCTTGTAGATCCAGACATGGTCGTCCTCACCCTCAAAGACAAGCATCCTCAATTTTCTCACCCTTGGATCACCACCGTTCCCCCGAAATCCTCCATAACCTCCCATTCCCTGAGAGGGTGGTGCTCCCCAATTTTCACGGTCCTCACTCCTGCGATTATGTCCAAACCCTTCATCGTACCCCCCTCTCCGTCCTCCAAAATCAACACCCCGACGGTAGACTTCTTCCCTTCTTCCAACACAATCAGCGCCCCTTCTTTTATATCTCATGCTCATCTCCTCCCTAAACAGCGGTTCTAGCGGAGGCATTCCATCCTCACTCTCGAGAACCTCCACTTTCGGATATTCCCTCCCCCTGAATGGGCTCGGAATACCTCCCCTTCCCTGGACGCCGGTGGTCTTCTTTGATTCTGATGTTGCCAGTTTTTGTTTGCCTTAAAGCATCTTCTTCATCAAATCTTCCAAGGTGGCGAACCTTCCATCTATTTTTTAATGAACAGCTACAAATTGACTTTGAAAATCTAAAATTTTCTCCTCAAAATCTACCTTCAATTGACCTATTTCTCCCTCCAAGACTTCAACCTTTCGTCTGGCCATAATTCCTCCGATTCGAAAGAGATTCTTTTGTGTGAGCAACAATTGCTGAAATTACAGATTTTAAGCCTCCAATGGTCCTGAGAAAGCGCTCTGATACCAATTTGATAGGAAATACTCGAGTTCGCAAGTAACCCTAAAGAATACTTGAGTTTGCAAGCAACCATATCCCAAATGGGTGAGCAAACAACAGAAAAACTGCTGTTTACTGCAGTTAAACAGTCCCAAACTGTGGGAAAATAGCAAGAAATTGAGTAGGAATCTGAGGAAAGACAAGCCAACCACTTGTATTCCACTAGTAGGTGAAAGAAAACAATAATCATACAAGATTCTTCAATTCAAGAGGAAGATAACTCTCCAAAATCTCTAGCCAAGAAGACTAGAGGCCAAGCCTCCAAGAAGATCCCAAAAATCAGCCCCCAAATTCAAGATGACCCACTCAATCCCCTTTCCCCCCTAATTAACTCCAAACCCGACACAAAATCCCTAATCAGCCCCTCTATCCAAATTCTCCACCACCCACCCTTCAAATTCTCCCCCCCCCCCCCCTTCCATTCAAAATTTCCCTCCCATACTTGAATTAAACCCAAGCTTGGGCCCATTAAGTTACCCTCCCCCCCCGGCCCTCTTTCCGCTCCATGTGGGCCCGCCTTTAGTAGGTAAGGACCGATCCTTGTTGGACCGGTCCAGCCCGCCCCTTCTAGGCCAGCCTAACACATTTCCAATAACAAATCATCACAATCAAGATACAACATCAAAACACGATATCAAATCCTTCCAAAAGTTTCAAGTATTGAAACAGTCTTCGAAATGAACAGCTTGACTTCTCATCCAAATTCTTGAAAGCTCCAACAATCAGCTCAAATATCTCCTTCATTATATTATCATCATATGGAACATCTGGTGTTGTTATTATTGTTATTTCACTAAGACAATATGCAATGCAAACCTTCACATCCATGTCTGAGTGCCCCAGAAGATTATTAGCAATCAATGCCTTAATAGCGGGTTGAACAACAATCAACATTGAAGTAGATGGAGATTGCTCCATTCTTGACAATAAATTTTCATCTTATCAAATAGTAGCAGAATCTGTTGTAAATCAGGTGGAGGAGACGCCAGCTTGTTCCCGATGTCTTTGACCCCATCCTGTAGCATTAAATCATCAGGTGACATTTGCACGGATGTGCACAAGAGAGAACACAGGTAGGGCAATAAGGGCTCCAAGCTCTCGATCCCTTGCATGAGCACATAAGACCACCGATCCAAGCATTCGGCTCTTCCCAGGCATGCACGCAAAAAAACTTCGGCACGACTCCTCCCAGCACTCGATTCTGCTTCCGCGTAGATAAGAACTTATGCACAGAGGCTCGACCTCTTCACACATATGAGGGTTCCTGCTCGCTCCTCTACTCGGCTTCTAGGAAGAGACACACGAAGCATATGATCAAGAGGAACGCCGCTACTCGCTCGATCACAAGCAGGGATGAAGACTGAGCCCAATGTCACTGTTCCAAGGAGGTCCTGGCCACTGTCGAGACGCATGCAGGAAGAGGTCCTACACTCAACTTCTCTCACTTTTACTTAGTTGACTCTGGATGCCACATGCAAGAACGAAGACCGAGCCTGATGCCATCGTTCCCAAGAAGTCCTGACCGCTGTCCAGATGCACGATTAACAGAGGGCAAGAGCAGTCTCCAACGACAATGAAGGCCGCTTGCTCCTCTCTACTTCCTTCGATTTGTGTATCCCTACGATTCCAGCAATGAAGTCCAGTGGAATGACCAATATTCCTCATAATTCCAGAAATGAAGGTCGGTGGTGAGAATCTATCTCTAATACCATGTTAAATTTAGAGAATTAGAGAGGGAATATGCTTAATTTACTATAAAAAACTATCCATATTATAAATCCATATAATATATCTTAATAAAGAAACAAATAACTACAGAATCATGCATAATTGCCTTAATATAATCCTTCCTAAATAAGCCACCTAAATGGAGATCGACATGATCCAGGTGAGCCTCCCATGGATCCCCATGCTGGCCGTGGGATCAAGGGCCAAGGGATGGTTGATATTTAATAGTATGATCAAGGTGAGCCTCCCACAGATCCACATGCTGGTCGTGGTATCAAAGGCCAAGGCATGGCTGGGATTTAATAAAATCTAGTACTAAAAAAGTTAAGATATAGTTATAATGATGATATACACCTAATCTAATTGAGAAAAATGATTTCATATGTTAAGACAAGTTAAATAAAGTGATCATTCATATGAATTCATAAAGTTAAAAATGTGTCTGGTAATATAGACAATATATAGAACCATACTTTCCCCAAAGTTAAAAAATCAGTAAGCTAAACTTACCACAAAGATAACATTCCTTTAAAAGATATATAAATATTGGTGGTGAAATGTGATACAAGTTAGAGAAGGCATGTAAACATATGAATTTCTCACGATCAACATGTTTATCATTTTTGGCAGCCCAACCTTCTTCCAAATGCATATTAAAAATCATTGTACCTGAAATAGAAGAGAGAGAAGAATAATTAGAAATTATAATAGAATAATAACATAAATAGCCATTAACTCAAACTCCACTCATAAAAAAAATATGCATAAAAAAGGGAATACAATAAACTATGAAAGTAACCCTTTTTAGTGGATTTGACAAATCGATTAAGCATGCAAAACCTTTTTGAGCCTCTCTTGCTTCAGTAACGTCATGTTCTATATGACAAAAAATGCTACTGCCAAATCAAACAAAGGTTTCCCGGGCTTATAAAAGAAAATGATTCAAAATGTATGAACTGAATAAGTAATTATAGACCTATTAGCTTGTGCAACTCGGTCTATAAAGTGGCGGCTAAGGTCCTTTAATTTTGAATAGATTGTCTCCTATCATTCACAAATTAGTTTCTGAAGAACAAGCGGCTTTTGTGAAAAGGAAGATTGTTGTTTGATCATGTTCTTGTAGCTCAGGAAGTTTTTCAAAAGCTTCCGTTTTCTAGAACCAATAAAGGGCTTGTTTCTTTCAAAATAGACATGGAGTAAGCTTACGACTCAATGGGATGGTCAACTTTGGGGAAAGCTCTTGATTACTTTGGATTCCCAATGAAATTTTCCAAATTGATATTGGAATGTGTTCAAGACCCGTCCTTTGCTTTGATGATAAATGGAACCTCACGGATTGGATCAATGCTTCTAGTGGATTTCATCAAGGTTTTCCTCTATCACCATTTCTTTTCATTCTATGCTCACAACTTATAACGAATGATTTTTCTCAAAGTAATAATAACATAGGGATTCCGGTGAATCCTAGTGGGCATAGAATATCACATTTGCTATATGCAGACGATGTGGTCATTTTTTCAGAAGCAAGTTTAAAGGAGGTTAAAGAAGTGAAGGCCATTTTGAAGAACTTTTGTGATTGGACTGGGCAAAGAATCAATGACAGCAAATCCTGTATTTTATTTGGGAATTCAATTAGAAGGAGAAGGAAGAAGGCCATTACTAAAATCATGGGATTCAAGACAGTCAAAGAAATGCAATATTTGGGAGCCAAAATAGCAATGAGAAAATTAATCAAATCAGATTTATAATTCATTATTGATAAGACATTAAGGATGTTGAATATTTGGGGAAGTAAAGTGTTATCCCTAGCGGGTAGAATCACTTTAGTAAAATCGGTGTTGCTCACCTTCCCTAATTTTCATTCTACTTTACCATGGGTACCTAAAGGTATACTTGATGAGATAGATAAGCTTTGTAGAGGCTTTATTTGGAGTAAAAATAGTGGAAACCATGATATTCATTACGTAAAATGGGAGACAATATGCAAACTGATTACCTGTGGTGGCAAAAGTCTTCATGCTTGCTCAAATAAAGCAGGTCCTTTGAGGGCCAGACTAGCTTGGAATTACATCCAAAACTCAAATTCTATCAAATTCCATTCTACACAAAGCATTGTATCCAAAATATGGATCTCCTTATGATGATGAATGTTCAAAATCTGCGGGTTCAACTGCTTGGAGGCTAATCCGTGATGGTGCCAGATTTCTAAAGTCAGTTATCAGATGGAATATAGCTGATGGGAAATCAATTGATGTATATGAAGACACCTGGATTATGGACAAAAGCCTTAACAGATGGCCAACATTTGTAATTCCTCAAAACAATGCTTTTTCAAAAGTTGAGAGTTTTATCTCTGAAGGAAGATGGGATGAGAATAAACTGAGGGAAGCCTTCGGAATTGAGCTGGTGGAGGTGATATGCAAAGTCCAAATTAATCCTGATCTAATAGAAGACAGAATGGAGCTCATTTATAATAATTCTGGAAAGTTTATCTCTGCTTTGGCGGCTGAAGTGCTACAAAAAAAGAAGAAATAGAACTTAAATATTGGGAATGGATCAGGAAAGCTGCAATACACCCGAGAACAGAAAATTTATGGTGGAGATTGTTCCATAAAGCCATCCCTACTAACCAATTTTTAACATATAGAAGATTGCAAAATTATGATAGATGTCCAAGAGATTGTGATGGAATAGAAGATGTTGAACATGTGGTTGTCAAATGCACAAAATTGAAGGATGTTGTCAAAGTTGTAAACATATGGGGATTTCAAATTCCAGATTTTGAATCCTTCAATAGCTACTGTAGATGGATGAGTTCCCAGAATTCTTGGATAATAAATCTATATTGCAACATAGTTTTTCTTTCATGGAAAGCTAGGAATGAATGGATCCATAATGGTATGGAGGGGAATTCATTGAGTATAGCAGCCAATGCTGTTAATTATGCTGCAAATTCTGCAAAATCATTTATAAATATCTCGGGTAGCTTGGATGTCAATCAGCAAGTGCTGTTGGAATATAGTTGGCATCCTCCTCCACCAGATTGGATTAAAGTAAACGTAGATGCCTCTCTTCTACCTTCATATAAAGCAGGAATTTGTGGAGTTTTCCGTGACAACAAGGGAAGATTTCTATTGGGATTTGGCAAGAAATGTCTTCATTGGGATATATCACATTTGGAACTCTTTTCTATAAAAGCTATTGGAGAAGTTGTCAAAGATTGAATGTATGATTTCAAAGGAAGCATCATTGAAGGGGACAACTACAATATCATCAAATTTCTCCAGGATATCACAAAGAGAGAAGGAAAATATTCGGTACAGTTATCTTTTTTAAATAGTTTCAATAATGTCATTTTTAATTGTATAGATAGGAAAAATAATAAGTTAGCTGATCTATGTGCTACCTATGCTATCTTTAGTTCTTTTATTTGGGAAGACATCTCTTTGGATAAGATTCCTCATTTTATTATAATTTTAAAGGAGGAATCGGATACTTCTCCTGGGTAGTCTGTAATCCTTTTATTATCTTTTTTTTTTTCAATATAGCTTCTTGCTTCTTTCAAAAAAAAGAATAAGTAATTGTAAATACGGTTGAGAATTAGTCAGCCATAAAACGAACCAATGCTAGCTTGATAACAATTTGACTTGCTTATTAAGTAGTCTCTACATTTCAATTCAAGATCCTGTGAGGCAAAATAACCAATACAATATTATATATATATATATATATATTAAAAATAAATACAAGATAGTTCACTGAACTCACCAATATTATGAAATACCCCCCAATTAGACACAAGCTCGTGAACTCGCGCACTAATAATACTATATACCGTCAAGCTAGCTCCATTTAAAGCAAGCACAGCTTCAGCCCTCTCTAATTTATCTCAATGAGAGAATCTGATACTGAATTTTTTTTTTCAATTATCTAAATTTAATTTCAGGCTAGCATGATCTAAGCCTGACACTTCTATTTGATTAGGAGCAAGCTCAATTTAATCAATGCACAGAAAGATCCACTTATAGTTTGATTTAATACAATGCTCAAGCAAATCATAGGCTTTGGCTCGTCAAACTTAACCTGGGCTTATACAAATCCATAAAAATCCATTTTCAAACAATATTAGAGCTTTAAGTCAAATTCCCAACCCACTCCCAACAACAGTTTCAGGCATCATGCTACTAATTACTTAGAATTTTTGCTATAAGATTTCAAACTAGCTCAAATCAAGCTAGTTGATCTCAAATAGAGCTTGATCAGAACCCAAAAAAACAATTATATTTCTTCTAATTGGAACCTTTAACTAAAATTATGAACCCTGGTACTAAAGGGGAATTTGCCACTCTGCAAAAAAATTCAAAGCTACATATTCCTTACATTCAGAGTATTAGGAAATAAGTTTTAAAATCAGAAAAGGATAATATATTATAAAAATATATGAACTAAAACCTCGAAGCATCCACATATTATACAATCACTATATCAAAAATCATCAAACCTAGCAAACCAATTTTCTCAATGGAGAAAGAGAGGAAAAGTTATCGGTTGATAGATGAGACTTCAAATGCCTCGGGCAACAACTATACTTGACCTCATTACAGGATACATCTTTAAAAAGCTAGAAAGATTTTCCAGCTATGCAATTTGCAGAAGCAATGCGAAATAAGTATATAAACATGAGTGGTTCTCAAATAGACATTTCTAACAAAAATAAAAAAGGATCGTGCATGCTTAAATTCTACCAGCCTGGGCAACATTTTTTTCAGAACCAAATAACCTGACTTAGAGCAATCTTCCTCCGGTTCAAACACAACTTGCAGATGACCAAAATTTGAGCATCCCAAACACGCATCAGACAGTACATGCTAATATATCCTGCATGAGCCTACTTCCACTCCCCGTAGTCATCTGCTCCGAGAATTTGCACTAAAATTAAGTGACTCTCCTTTTGCTTCCACAGCAAAGCGGAGAAGCCTTTACAAACTCACTTTCACCAAACTTTTGCTACGGCGGAGTGCCGGATGCTATGTCACCCTCCCGGTGACAACAGCGGACCTTGACTCATTTTTCTCCCTCCTGGAGAAGATAGACATGAATAGGAACAGGCGATAGAATCGTCCTCCTCTCACCTGAAGGAGTACTCATACCTAAAGCAACCCAATTGGTTTTTCCAGCAACTAACAACGTGGCCGAGTACGAAGCGTTCATCGCGGGCTTAATAATGTTGAGGTCGTGAAAGAGAAATTGTTTGAAGTCCAGGCACAGCATAGCATGGTACTCTTTCTACCGCTACGTTAGTACCAAAAAGAAAAATGAGAAAAAAAGGAAGAATTGGGAATTTCTTCACAGGGTAGTACTCTTGATAGAAGATCACCGCGTGAACAACATCTAAAGTGAAAGTAACGAATGTCACTCCCGAGGGATCGACCACTATACTCTTAGAAAGACATTTTGGAAGAGAACCTCAACTCTTTTTTCTCCCTTCTAGAGAAGGCAAAGAACCTCGAGGACTGGACTAAGAAGCCTTTCTCCTAAGGCTGCAGGAGGAGCTAGCCCGGAGCAACCGTGTAATCCCCTCACACTACTTCTCCCTCACGCTCAAGCTCACCTTCTTCTTCCTCTCTTAAACCCTGATTTTCTTCTCAAAAGTTTCTCTCAGAGCTCAT